ACCCCCATTTCCCGGTTCGTTTGACAAGTGTGAGTGCTCACCTTGAGTGACTTACCTCCAGGTCTGGTTCAGTTATCCAGCATTAAACCACTGTTATTTGTTTGGAAGAGGTGTGCCAGAGCACGGTTTGTTTGGGCTTTGTCGGTGTGTGCAAAACACGTCTGAACCCGAAACTGAAGATGCAATGTCACCTTTAAGGGACCGTTTCATATAGATTATTAACAATTCTTACTGTTCAATGAACGCGAACAGTCATAGTTTATTAAAGATGCAAACCCCCTGCTGCTCCTTCAGCAAACCTCCCAATACGTGCAGCACGAGGACTTTCATGAACATTCATAAGCATCACATGTGGTGAATCTGTTCAGCAAAAGGACTCTGTGCCTCAGCATATCAAAGGACTTGAAATTATACAAAACAATATAACTACTACCCTTCTGTTAAAGTGAACAGTCGCATCATCGATGACATAAGCGTCCTCAGGCTCAGAAGTCAAAAAATGCAATGTGAGTGCGGGCCGAGGGGGGGTAATTACACCTGGGCATGGTTCAAGACAACTGTGCCTAGTGTGAGTACACCCTTACACAATATTGGCAAGAGTTTTGGGACATCTTCATGAGGAATGATATCCTAACTCGTAGGGTTTGCAGAGTTGGCAGATCCTTAACCACTGTAACAGCTCCAACTCTTCTGGGAACGATATCCACAATGTTTAGGGAATTTTTGATCATTCGTTTAGATGCGCATTTGTTACGTCAGGCAATGTTGTTAGATGTGGCTCAGAGGTTGAGGTTAGGACTTTCTGCAGGCCAGTCCATTTCCTCTACTTTGACCTCACTTATCCATTTCTTTGTGGACTTTGCTTTGTGCACTGGTGTGCAGTCATGCTGGAACTGCAATCCCCTTCCACAAACTCTTCCCACAAAGTTGGGAGCATGAAATCAAATTGGGAGCACTTTGAAAGGCTATTTGTTTGGCTATACAATATAAATACTTAAAGGGTCACGAAACACCAAAACACATGTGTTTGAGCTGTTGACAGTCGTATATGTGTTCTACACTGCTAAAAACACTATTAGGACAACTATATTTCACTAAAAAGTGTAAATTGGTTGTTTTTGCGTTATTTCAAGCAAATTCGTACTTCCAATTTGAAACTAATTTTTGAAGCTGCGTCACGGTCATGACATAATAGCGTGTATTCCAGCGTGCAGACTGGACGCCTGTGCCAGAGTGAGTCTTATTACATCTTACAGTGTGATGCATTAATGCATGAGTAAGGCTTGGTTCAAACCAATCAGCGCGCTCTATTGTGCAACTTCATTAATATTCATTACTGTCAGAGTGTTTAGACGACAGAGACGCCACGTTGTGTTGGCAAAACAAGCGTGAAGTGTTGCTTTTATAGTTAAAATTGTTGCTGCAGTTAAGTTTTGTTTTCATTTTCTCTCTGTGAGAGCTCAGAGTCACGTGTGGATTAACAGTGTACGCGACGCTCGACAACAATAACTTACGTGTCTAAGGAGTCGCATTGTTTACCTGAGAGCTGTTCTCATCTGCAAACGCTGAGATCCGGATTCGCTTTAGTCTCCTCTTAATAAAGACGTGGCTCTAGTTGCTGGTGATTGTCCTGTCTCTACAGATTTGGTAAGTGAGCGACCAGTGCTCTTTGTTTATTCAGTTTGTTCGTATCCAACAAACTATTGCACCGAGTGTAAACATGTTAGCACCACAACCAAACTTTAACCTCGTGTAGGATTTTCACCGCATTTTGTGACCGGAATAACACACGCGGCTTTCTGACGCTACCTGTCGTGTGCATCTAAGTTTCCGGGAAGTGCTGAGGTCTTTTTTTCTCTCATTCGCCGTGCGGTATCAAACATTGCATGAAAAATACAGGCTTAGAGCAGCTCCTCGAATCAAATATCTTGTTTGTTTGATGTCCATGTAAACACAGTCCCTTTCTCCCCTGTGTGTGTGTGCGTGCGTGCGTGCGTGCGTGCGTGCGTGTGTGTGTGTGTTTTTGACTCTGAAAGTCAACGTGCCCAAATAGACACTCCCACACCATCCCTCTTTTCTTTCTCCGACACTCCCTCCTAAACAGAGCTGGACACGCCCACTTTTCTGACTTTTTCCAAAGTAGAGGTGTGAAAACACCCTGCTGAAACGAGGGGGTTTCATGGCCCTTTAAGGTTCATGTCAACACTGAAGTTCAATTTAGGCTTGTCAACAGATTTTTTTTTTTAAGTCAGGGAGGAAATAAGTCTGAAGTTTAATATAACCCTAAAGCACGATAGAGTAAACAAGTCATCACGGGTATATTGTGTGTATTGACGAATCAGATGATCATTGAACAGTTTGTAAACACACCAGAGTTGCCCTGAATTTCTGTGTGAGAAAGAAACCTCGTTTTGCATTCAATGTGTTGGCCATTGTAGTACTTTGTGTAACATCCCACTAGCATGTGACGCTGCAGTGTTACCTAACCCCCAGGGGCAATTAATTTAGGGAGCATCATGTAGATTTCTGAGCTAGAAGGCCATGAAGGGGTCAAGCTTGGAAGTGCGGTCTGAACGGATCAATTCCCCCGTGCCCTCATGCCCAGAGGAAGTAAGGGCTTTGTGGGTAATTGCTGCCTCACAGGATCGTTACAACATAAAGCTGAGCGGGGCTGTGTGATCACTGATTTTCCCTGCCTTTTTCCACAAATCAATGACCTGGCCTTGCTTTGTTAAATTGTGCCACACTACAGAATGAAATAAAGGCCTCATCACCTGCCTTTTTTCTTTTAGTCTCTCTCTCTCTTTCTCTTTTTTTCTCTGTCTTTCTTGTCCCTCTTCGGTAATAATCTAATTTGAGGTGAGCTCTTTACTCTTTATCCTCTCTCGCATCAGGCCCAGCAGACATTGGATTGAATAAGACGCTATTTTCTGCGGTTCTTGATCATGACTGCGATAGCCTTCATCAGGGCGGTATTAGCAGATAGGCCTCATCAAACACCCTATTCACATCCCAGTGTTCATTGAGCACATGTTAGTGAAATTGTTCCTTTTAAGAAGACTTGCATGAGAAGATTCATCCATCAAATCGTCACCTTAGATTGATAAGGTTCTATCTGACATTTTTTGTCAAAATTGAGTTATTTACATAATTTTCGTAAATGCCAACTTATTTACATTATGTGATGTGTTTTTAAAAATTGTTTACATTTTAAGACTTTTTATTTAAAAAACAAAAAAGGTTTTATCTACAAAGTTGAACTCCAGCTTGGCTCTATAAGGTTCTATCTGTGAGCCAATCAGCATTTTTAATGCACGCACGAGGACCAATCAGGATCAGCTTTCTTTGTCATTTCGCCGGACTGCTCCATTGACAGCGAGAAACACCAGGAAGACAAAAATCACACAAAATCAGAGTCGGCTAAATAAAGCCGCACCACACAAAATTGAGGCGTGTAAAAAGGTAATGATTTAGAAGCATTTCTTGACATTGAGATTGACAGCTTAGTCTCTTTACTAATCTGGGGTCACCACAGCGGGATGAACCACCAACTTATCCAGCATATAATTTAGCAGCGGATGCCCTTCCAGCTGCAACCCATCACTGGAAAACACCCATACACACTCAATCACACACATACACTATGGCCAATTTTAGCTCACCCAATTCACCTGTACCGCATGTCTTTGGACTTGTGGGGGAAACCAGAGCACCCGGAGAAAACATACAGCAAAACGGAGAGTACATGCAAACTCCACACAGAAATGCCAACTGACCCAGCTGAGGCTCGAACCAGCGTTTGTCTTGCTGTAAGGCGATCGTGCTACCCACTGTGGCACTGCATCGCAGACATTGATATGAAATGTTACATTTTATATTGTTGAAAAAGAGATGAATATTAAAAAACGTAAATATTGAATGTGAAATATATTTATTTGTTATAGTCAGTGAAACACTTTTCAGTGTTTATTAAACTCATTTGGTCACCGTCTGTTTCTTTTGGTCTTTAAATTTAATATTTGAAGGGCAAATACTTAATTTAATTTATAGGGCATATAAGTCAATAAATATGATTCAATAATTCATATAAAGCATAAAATTGCATAAATATTAACATATTAATTAGATCAAATTAACATCCGCTCTGGAAAAAAATATTTAGCCCAGCCTTGTAAGCTCAATTTGAACAAGAATAAATATCCTAAAACATGAAATAAATGTTGTAGAAACCAAAATTTAACTTTCTCCAGCATCAAAATATTGTTACAACACCAATTTATATATTTTTTGATTGTATTTCTTGAAAAATAATGCTTCAATGAATGAGCTGGCAGATAGAACCTTATAATTCCAAGCGGAAAATGACATTTCAGAATGAGAAGGTTCTATCTGCATTTACCGTGGTTTTTTTACTCCAATTTGCAAGTGTAAGAGAACTTTGCTCATTTGCATTTAGAGAACCGTTAGGGTCTCTGTCATGTTAATGTCTGAAAGAGAACTGTCACACACATGTTGTTTGCTATATGGAATGCAAAAACTTTGAAGCTCAATATCTCAAAATCATTCAGAACCAGATAGAACCTTATAATTCTAAGGTGACGAAATGTGCAAGCTACATAGGTCTCATAGCAACAAATGTGGTTCCATAGAAAGTATCAGACTAGACAAGATTAGAGGCATGGTTTTCACTGAAATTCAAGGATATAGATTCCCACCCTTATGCTTTTAATTGAAACTTTCTTTCTTGACACAAAGACGAAGGTACTTTCTCTTGTTGTTTTTGTCCTAATCACTGCTGCTTCGATTGTCTGGTAAAGACAGTGCAAACATTCTTACAATACATTGTATTTTCGGGAGTGGGGTCGGTCTTTAATAAGCTTTTCACTAGATGTGAACTGAACTGTTGGCTGTTCTAACTAAATGCCTGTTGGTAGTAACGCAAATGTTCTCATTATCCAGTTTTGTGTGTGTGTGTTTATATTTTCTGTAATGTTTTGCAGTTGCCATATGAGCTACAGGACATGGTGAACAAGCATATGAAGAGCAGCTTGCCCAACAAGACTCAGGGAGCTCAAGCCCAGGATCCTGACACTCTAAGCCTGACTCCTGCAGATGTAGTGCCCACTTCGGTCATTGCTCGTGTTCTTGAGAAACCCGAGCCCCTGGTGCTCAACTCGGCTCAGTCTAGCAGCAGTGCAGGTCGGCCTGTGGCTGAGGATGTCTTTGTACACGTGGACATGACGGGACCACAAGATGATGATGGAGGGCGGGAAAATGGTGGTCCTGTTCCTGCTAGGCCTCCTGCGGTAGCTGATACTGACCAGCAGCATGTCAATGGCATGTGTCGAAGCCAGGGCAGCCTTGATGGTCCTACAGGAGATGATGGTGCAGCTCCCTCTTTCGAGAAGCTGAATCCTTACCCTACTCCTTCACCACCAAACCCGCTCTACCCAGGTCGCAAAGTGATTGAGTTTTCTTCTGATGATAAAGTCAAGATCCCCAAGAACAGCCCACTGCCCAATTGCACCTACGCTACTCGTCAGGCTATTTCTTTGAGTCTTGTGCAGAATGAAGAAGAGGCAGCCGAGCGCCAGCGCACAGTGCCTAATAGCCCTGCCATATCTGATGGGGGTTGGCGATCTGGAACCTCCTCATCTTCCGGTGGAGGGATTGCTTCTCACCAGAGGACACCTCCACAGATGGATGCTACAGACACACTCTCCAGTCATTCAAGTCCCTTTAGCAGCCCCCCTCAGCCGCCCAGCGCCTTTGCCAGTTCTGGAAGCTCCGAGGAGGACCTTCTAGCCAGCTGGCAGCGCATGTTTGTTGAAAAAATGGCACCTTCTTCAGATGGCTCCCTTGTCAACCGCACATCCTTCAGCAGTGAGACGGTAAAAGATCTCCAAAGAAGTCATAATGGAAAATCAGGAGTTGGTGCTCTGAGAGGTGCTTACTCTGATGGTGAGGAGGGATCCTCGGCTCAGAGCTGGACAGCAAGTAGAGAGTCAAGTTTGGACACAGACACCAGCAGCATGGCAGACCTTCGGGCAAAGAAGACACAATATGGTGGCGACTTTTCCCATGAAGAAGGTGAACACCTTCTGATGGCTCTGGATCCACTTGATAATGATGGTGCTAGCGGTGACACTATGGTCACCATTGAGAGTAGTCCTGCCTCTGCGAAGCGTCAAGAGTTTGCAGAAGATGTTGGATCGGCGGGAAGTTCAGCAGAAGAGCGAGATGTCCTTCCCCAGGACTTTCCTGTCATTGGCTCAAGGGTTCTTTCTTCCCTTGAGGATTATGCAGATAAGCCCCCTCGGACTGGCTCCTCGCGACCTCTGAAGAGTCCCAAGAGGATGGGGGTTCATCACTTGCACCGCAAAGACAGCCTTACCAGAGCCCAGGAGCATGGCAACTTGCTAGACTGAGACTTCCAGACTTGTTTTTCTCCTTTTTTTTCTTTTTCATTTTAACCTCGAGTGCTCTTCGTCTTACTAGCAATCACTAGTCATAGCAGCACACAACAAGTGGAAGGCATGGGATCAGGCTCGATGCGGTTATCCCAGAGTATGCTGCTGTTGCTACTCTTCTGTCCTCTTTTTAAGGCACGGAGCACTCTTTATCTCTGGAACCGACAGTATTGATGGGATCCACGGAGAGGTACCGGCTGCACCTTCTCTTAGTCCGGCTATTTTGAGTGGACAGTGCTTCAGGGATAATACAAGAATGTCATAGCCTGTATTAAGGTGGATTTCACCAGTTCAAGCCTTGCTTCTGCTTGATGCGCAGTGATTGAGTGGGCGACAGCAGTACACAGCCATACAATCACACCTCCGCAAGAGGAAGAGTTCTTCAGAGGCGACAAGATTGAGCAGCATTAAATGTGATCTTCGTGGCACTGTGCGGACATGGAACTTTTCAAATAATGGATGTTTTGACATTCACTTTTGCCCTCGGGTGAGAGTTGTCTACCCAGATAATGAAATCTATTCAGTATCCCAGTACAAGCCCCTTGTTTCGGGAGATTGGGATGGCACTGACGGTCACAGCTTCACAGATACCACTGTGTCAGGCATTCTGCTGATTGAAGCAGGTTAAATGTAATCTATGGGACTCTCTTGTCAATTTTCAGTGCCTAACCCTTGCTCTGACAGAGGGGGCTCTCCATCACCCTTTAAATGAACATCCTATACCTTTAGTCAGCTTTTAGTCATCACAAACCTAGAGGATCCTTCACCTCAGATGTTCAGTTGTCTCTCTTTATTTCCTCACCCAAACCTAAGGACAGCTTTTTGTACAATCTTAAACCATTCATGAAAGGATTTTAATTTTGATGTATTCAATATGTTTTAATGATCAAGTACTCGGAGATACTTCCTGATTTCATTCTGTTTCGTTTGACTAATGATATTTAAGACGGATTATGATTTCAAGTAAACATTTTGTGTATTTATTTGTCTTTTGCTGGTCTCATCACTTGCCATCCAAAGCAGTTAACCAGAAGTCTAAAGAAGTGTGCAGGTTCCTGAATCCTGAAATTAAGGTATGCAATCTACTACATCAGTTATTACACTGTAATATGCACCTCAAACAGTGCTGTATTTGCAATCTGTTTCAAAAGTCAGTATTTAAGAGTTGGATATGACACAAGTTAAGCAGAAACATTTGGATTTATTATTTGGTATTTTTTGTCCTCCAATTTCGAACAGCTGACAACACAAATTTTCATTCAGAGGGCATATTAATATTTCAAATCTATGCATATAGTGCTGTTTTAAAAATACCTTTACAAAGGATACTGTCTCTACTGATAACCAGTGCTTAATTTGTACCGGAACAAGCCGGATCCGGCACCTCATTTTACTGATCCCCCTCCTCATTGCATGAACCCCCTCCGCAACTACAATTACAACTTTGTCCGCAACTTTCCAACCCTCTTCACTTTCGTCTGTGACACCCCCATATCCCCCTAACACCCCCCCCCCCCTACCCCCCCCTCCTCTTCATTTTTGTTTGTGACACCCCCCGTACCCCCACCCACCCGGAGAATCACTTTCGTTCACAACACATCTCTCCTTCCCCGCTCATTACTTTCGTCCCAGACACCTCTCCCTCTCTGGTAACATGCCAGACCTCGTGTTCTGGGACCTCGCAATTTACAAAGTAAGCACTGCATATATTTTACTGATCCCCCTCCTCATCACACAAACCCCCCTCTACAACTACAACTTTTTCCGTTACTCCCCAACCCTCTTCACTTTCGTCTGTGACACACCTACATCCCCCCTCCCCCCCGCTCTTCAATTTCGTTTGCGACACCTCTCCCTCCTCTGGTAACATGCCAGATCCGTTACTCTAATCTGTTCCGGGACCTCGCAATTTACGAATTAATTTCTGCTGATATTACACAATTCCCTCTCCTAATCGCACAAACCCCCTCCGCTACCACAACATAACTTTTTCCGCGACTCCCAAACCCTCTTCACTTTCGTCTGCAACACACCTCCCCATCCTAACCCAACACCTCCCCATCCCCACTCTTCAATTTCATCCGTGAAACCTTCCTCTGGTAACATGCCAGATCCGTTACCCCGATCTGTTCCGGAACCTCGCAATTTACAAATTAAGCACTGCTGATATTTTACCGATACCCCTTCCCATCGCACGAACCCCTGCCACAGCTACAACTACAACTTCCTCCGCGACTCCCAAACCCTATTCACTTTCGTCTGCAATACACCTCCCCATCACAACCCACCCAACACCCCCACCCTCGCTCTTCAATTTCATCCGCGAAACCTCTCCTTCCTCTGGTAACATGCCGGATACGTTACCCTGATCTGTTCCGGGACCTCGCAATTTACAAATTAAGCACTGGTAATAATGTTCTGATCTTGCATACAGTTGACGAGAAAAAAAAGATACTGAAATTTCAGCCAGAAACATGCCTGTGATGGAATGGCGCTAAAACATTTTGTTAAATCCCAGATTTAAAGGAAGCCATGTTTTGATCTTAACGAATGTAATCGTCTTTTATGTAGCATTTGTTTTTCTTTGGTTCCTCACTATAACCCATCATACTGCTGTATGGCTGTCTTTTAAGGGGAATGTGCGCCCCACCATCATTTAGTGTGTTTTTTTTTTCTGTGTGTATTTTCTGTGTGCAAATCTGAACTGTCCTGATTATGTGTGGAAATCTGAACTGTCTTGATTGTGGATGATTAGTCTGTCCAGCAGCTGTTTGTTTTCTTTGTGTTCATCTTAAAATCTTTGTTATTTCAAGCTTTGTTCAGATAGCATTTATCAGCTTTTCTCAAATGAGTTTCAGATGCAACCACTGAAAGCATCCTCATTCTTTTGTTTTTGATGAATATATTTTAGAGACGAATAAACTCTGTGTTGCCTTTTTAAATGTGTCTTGCTTTGTGTTCTCTTCATTTAAGAGTCTTAGTCTCTTGGCCAGTCATTTTCGAGATTTCCCAATTGTGGTTGAAGCACTGTAGGCTACGCTATTCTGTGTTGTACTTCAGAAATCGACTAGTGCTCTCAAACGATCAATCGCATCCAAAATTGATGTTTGCCTTTACATCATTTGGGACCCAGGACTATAAAGATCCATTTTTATACATCATCTGAATGCTGAATAAACCTAAAATGCTGAATCATTTCCACTAGCTTTCCATGGGACATTATTTGGCTGAGGTTTTGAAAATTTGTAATCTAAGGGGTTCAGAAATGTCTAAATATTTTAAAAGATTTTTTTTTTAATTCTTAGCATTTTATATAAATAATATAACTTCATAACTAATAAAAAATATGAATATATATATGAAAAATAACATACTAGCAGTGCCATATGGCTGTTTGAGGCTTAGAGGCTCCAGGTCGTAGGCCGAATGCCTTAGTGTCCCACCAGTGACGATATATAGCCATAGCGCATTGCTACTCGTGTGATATTGCGTTTATACAACAGGTCTGTCTGGTACTAGAATCTGATTGGCTGATAGCGATGCGATATTCTGCAAATAACAGCACCCATACAGCCTTTTTTTTGACAGCAGATTAATAATAAATATATATATATATGTATATATATGACATTAATGCACATCTACTCGCCTTTTTATGTATGCCACTGTAAGAAAACATTGTAAAAAAAAAATCCAGCAACCACCATAATCAAACTCTTGGGAACAACAGTGGTTGGAACCAAAGTGTGTTCTCTGGACACTGAACCGCGTCATAGCTCATTACCATAAATTTGACTTGATTTCAATTTTCCTCAGCGCCCACACCGCCCGTTCTCATTGAAAATGAATGACTTCTGGCGACTTTGACGCTCTCTCTGCTTTCGGTGTGAACGCACAGCCATATCGCACTGCTACAAATGGGATCTTGCTTATATACATCTTCTTTACATAAATGTGAATGCATGGGAATGTTAATTTTTACATAATTATAAATAATTCAGATCTAAAAAAGTAAATACCAAGCGGAAACCTCCTGTTCTCCCTCATGAAGCAAATATGGAAGTAACTTAAAATGCAATTCATCGAAATTCCAGTAGTCCTGGCTCCATATAGAGCAAATTTCTATTGAGCTCACAGTTAAAATGGCCAACTTTACAGCAGAAAAAAGTGTTTAGAGCCTGGTACAAAGAACGCTTTTGGTTTATATAGCTAGTAATAAATTTCATGACAACTTTGAGGGGGGTGAAATTTTTTTGTAGCTCATCTGTTTCATTTATATTAAGTTATATTAAGTCTGCATTATTAAGGGCGTGGCCACTTGAGTGACAGCTAGGTCTTGCTGGTCGCCGTCACTTCACCTCAGCTGATTCCGGCTGATTACCATCCGGCATATTCATACAAAATCGGTTGCCTATTGGAATTATTTCCTACACTTATCAGATGATATGGCATGCTGTGTGCACTTTATTGTGCTCACAAACCATTCACATGGCCTCCTTTTCCCAGGTGAGTGAAATTATATACTTATATTATCTCTATAAATGTATTTGTTTTATTTAAGATAATTTATAATTGTCTTTAGACCTGTAATGCACTCCAGAATCTGACAGATTGATTAGGCTTTAGAACAGTCATCTGAAGCGTTGTCATACAGTGTTATGCCTGGATTTCATCAATAGCCTTGCATTTACTAACACAGACTATATTTGAAGTGTTTGAAAGTAATTTGCATCTTTCTCCTGTGGAAAAAGTCATAAGAACAATGTTTAGTGGCTCAATAGATTACAACAGTGATTTTAAAAGACTAAACACTTTATTGATATAGTGTACAACCAAGCACATGTGTTCAGAACACAAACGAGTCGCAGGTAAGGAAGTATTAAGTGTTTTGTATGGGTGACGTCAAGGATACTACGTGGTGGTTCCTTCCGTTGTGGCAGCGCCTGATAAATCAGCCTAATCCTGATGAATGAATGACTCTAAACTTCATGCATACAAGGCATGTTTATGAAGGCGGAGCTCCGGGACACACCCACTGATTGCATATCCGCTTGTTAAGTGTGACATCACGCGAAGCGGCTTCCGGGTCTAAGCGCTCTATTCAACTGAATGGGGAGACTCATGAAATGGTAATAATAAACGTTTACAAAGCGATTTAAGGCTTTCGAAAATCACGATAGCAGTATATATGTCCATGCCTAATATACGATGGCCAGAAAGTGATACATTTTTTTTATAAATTGTTAAATTTGTGGTGTTTGTTATGCAGTAAGCCCAGAGATTGTTGTGTACACTATGATTATATATGAAATTAACTTTAATGTGTGATAGGAATAAAACGTGATCATAAACGAATGATTTCTCCACTCAAATGAATGGCGACTTGGACCCGGAAACAGTATACATACGTCACAAACACGTCACCACTTAACAAGCGGATACTGTTAATAAAACATGTTGTCTGGGTTCTAAATGTCGTTTCAATTTAGACGGTTTTATGCTGTCTAATGAGAGCACCTCACTACATATGTCACTGAGGCTTTAAGTCTTTTTTTGTCGTCAATATTTAACAATAGTTCCAATAGTTTACATATTCGGGGTCGTACTTGCGCTTCGACATATTTGTTAAGTGAAGTTTATTCATAAACTAATTTCGAGAGGATCACGTGCTTATGATTGACACGGCTGGCCCTGAGTCAAGCTAATGTACGAACCACCAATCGGACTATTCCTAACCAAGTATAAATAACCAAACACCTTACCTTTAGTCATCTTCGTCTTGAAGAATCCCCCCTTTCACCCCTTCGCCTCCTCTTTTGTCTACAGGGCAGCACGGCGGCCCAGTGGCTAGCACTGCGGCCTCACAGTAAAATGCTTCCAGTTCGGGCATCTACCCAAACAGTCAGCATTTTCGTGTGGAGTTCATGTTCTCCCTGTGCTTGCGTGGGTTTTCTCCCACACTTCCAAAAACATGACACTTAAGTAAATTGACTAAACCAAATTAGCACCAAATTTGATTCAATTCTGTCAGCGACGCATCACCTTAGCAACCCTAACGCAGCAGGAGGGGAGGGGGGAGGGGTTCTCGAGATCTACCCGAGCTCAAACTCCCCTCTTGCCCTGCAACGGGAGGGAGCCCCGGGCTCGAAGCTCTCATGAGCTCGGGGCTCTCTCCCGGGACAGCATCCCAAACTAGCTTATTACCAATCATCAGCTAAGTGTGAACTCTTGAAAATTATATTTCACATGTCGAACGGTAGAGTGGTCGCGCATGCATTTCAAAATAAAAGTTTGGTATTGGCAAAATAAGTAAACAATTTAACTTTTGTTGTTGTTTTTTTGACCACACACTCTGCGACCCACCAGTTGAGAAACACTATATTACTTTATAACAGTACTCCTCAGTTTTGTTAAACCCCCGCACCCAACATTCAGCTTTCGCCTTGAAAAATTCTGCTCTGTTTCTCGGTGAAGTGCCGAATGTGCAGTCAAAGGCCTCCAAACTCGCTCTTCTCATCTCACACTTTGTTCTTCTTTTGTAGTGATCAGTCTCGCGTCAGAATATATGTGCGCACCACTAATAGCCCATGATTAATTGAAGTGTAACTACCCACCGTCCTGAATAATTAATATTTTATCATGTTCTAAAAAGAGTCCTGCGATGCTTTAAAGTGACGGAGTACGGCTGTCAGGCTCTTGCATGTGGAAATGGATGTCCGTAAATAATTCAGTCTCATCAGATGTTACACAGACGCCAGTTTGTGCAGATAAATACCTTGTTGAAGGAGAAAAGAAAAGACGTGACAGTGGTCAGGATGGTCTGTAAATAGGTCTTCCACTTCTGATGGCTTGCAGCTTTAATAATCCTAATTTAATTGCACATAGGAGAGAGACATGCACGTCTTTAATCCAAGGTGACCCTCGGGCATGTGTGTGTGTGTGTGTGTGTGTGTGTGTGTGTGTGTGTGTGTGTGTGTGTGTGTGTGTGCAAAGACTTCACTGACCAATCTAAGAAGAAATGTCAAGGTTATCCTCCAACCAATGCTTTCTGCCTAAAGCTGACGTCTTTCAAGCCATTCATATGATCGTCTAACCTTCAAGATGTCTGTAATATGTGCTTCTTTTGCCTTTCATCTGATGTTTTATTTATCTGAAGGCCAAATACACAGGATTAGAGGCCTTTGCCTTTCATATGAGCCACTTCTGATACCAAAAGATCAACTAGAAGTCAAGTTATTATTTGCTGTTCCTAAAACGTGGATAGGCGACAAGACTATAGTCAGGTAGTGTATCCATCAATGACAAAAGCTTGTTTGAGATTGACTTGACATTTACATCTATTTCATATTACTGATTTATGTGTAGAAAAAGTATGCTTATAAATGAGCTTCATAGTAAGCATGCCTGTTTATGAAAAAGGAACGTTATCAGCACCATCCCTGCTAAAAAATCCAGCTTAAACCAGCCTAGGCTGGTTGACTGGTTTTAGCTGGTCGACCAGGCTGGTTTTAGAGGGGTTTTGGCCACTTCCAGGCTGGTTTCCAGCCATTTACAGCCTGGTCTTAGCTGGTCAGGCTGGAAAATGACCAGCTAAATCCAGCTAAAACCAGCTTGACCAGCCTGGTTTAAGCTGGACATAGCTGGTTTTGGCTGGGCTCCCAGCCTGCTAGGCTGGTCAAGCTGGTTTTAGCTGGTCATCTCCCAGCCTAACCAGCTAAGACCAGGCTGGAAATGGCTGGAAACCAGCCTGGAAGTGGCCAAAACCCCTCTAAAACCAGCCTGGTTGACCAGCTAAAACCAGCCAACCAGCCTAGGCTGGTTTAAGCTGGATTTTTCAGCAGGGATGTTAATATCAAAATTACACCTTAAAGAAAATCTAAACCCCCCCACCTGGTCACAAACTAATTCAGGGACGATGCTTCAAATTTTCAGGTCATTTTTAAT